TATTTTCCTCTCACTGATTGATGTTCCCAAGGCTTCTGACTCATGCATCCTCAGCCATCTCAGTTGGTCTTTTACTTCGGGCTTCATTTTTTTTTTTCAATTACCTGTAACAGATCATAGCTAAATTGAAGCATAAATCTAATCTTTGTTTATTTTGCTGCCACTCATTTTGATTAATTTTCTTATATGTCTTGTGATCTTTGCATATGAATTCTATTTAACAGACATTAATTTGTGGGAAATTCAAAGATCATAAAGTGAGGTTTTTCCCCAGAAAGGATTGTATGTAGCACTTGTTGAATTTCTCTGTGTGATAGATAAATTATTGCTATTAAAAACCAAACCACCAAAAAACAAACTGTTTCATCCATGTGTAAGACATATGTGTGTATTTATTTTTGATGAGAAGAGTTTCTTTTTTCTTTTCTTTTTTTGTTTTTTTGAGACAGGGTTTCTCCGTGTAGCATTGGAGCCTATCCTGGCACTCGCTCTGGAGACCAGGCTGGCCTGGAACTCACAGAGATGCGCCTGCCTCTGCCTCCTGAGTGCTGAGATTAAAGGTGAGCACCACCACTGCCCAGCTACCAGAAGAGTTTCTGATAGGGAAAGTACAGGTTACACAGAAAAATATTAGTGACATTTCATTTCCCATCATCCTCCAATGTTTTCACATATGTAGGCATTACATTGAAGTAGTATTAAGCTAAAGAGCTTCAAAGCATCATTTGAAGAGTAAACATAACAGTCTGTGAATACATGTGAATACAAAGAATCATAACAAACAAGAAATATAAACAACAATTATAAAGAGCCCAGTAAGCCCAAACACCTCTATGTGTGAGCAGGTCTAATGACATAAGCATTTGGCATGCTCTTTCAATCAACAAGTAACAAAGGCAGTAGTAGGCAAATGGAGATTACTCTCAAATTTTACTTAGGAGAATGAGATCAGATTGTAACAATAATATTCTAAACTCCAGTACCCCTTTTCTACATTTGTCCAGAGAGATGCCTTCTATTATGTGTGTTCACAACTCAAAATTCAGCTAAGTATACAGCTCAAGTGCAAAACATTTGCCAAGCATGCTTAAAGCCAAGTTCAAAACAACCATACTGCAAACGCACAAACATACAAACACATGCTCGCACACATGCATATTTGTGCACACAAGGTGGAAAGACTATAGGTCTACACACAGTCATCCTTAAATGACCTTCCTGTATCAGGTTATAGGGTCTGGAGGCTCGTTTGAAAAAGTTTGAAGACTACTTCTGATTAAAATCCCCAGATAAAATTCTACCATTAAAAATTTATACACTAAGGAAAAGGCCAATTTCTGCCATTTCTTTTTGTAGCAAAAACAAAGTGAAAGAAAGAAAAAAAGAAGAAAGGAAGAAAGAAAGAAAGGAAGAAAGAAAGGGAAAGACCTGTGTTCTTAGCATTTGTGGGGTAGTTTTAATATTTTGGTAGAAGTATATTTTATGTATTAACTGAATCCAGTGTTTAGCATATATATCACTTCATATATATAGTGTCTTTGTGATGAGAATATTTAAAATGCTTTCTTCCATTTTGAACATCAACACAATTTTCTGTATTAGCTTTAATACCCAGATGTAGGCTCAATCTATGCTTGGAGTTTTGTACTTCAATCCACGTTTGGGATGGTCATGTATTCTATATATTTATGTCTATTCTGTCCTACATGATTTTTTTTTCCATATGCCAACATTGACATGTGAGGTTTTTTTTTTTTTTCTTCTGATTTTAAGATAGAGGACCTTGTGTAGCATGGGCTAACCTTGAAGTTGCTACCTAACAAAAGATAGCTTTGAACTCCTAGTCTTCCTGGCTGTGTCTTCTAAGTGCTATGATTACAGGCATGTGCCAAACATGCCTAGCAGTAAGTGAGGTCTTCAAATGGTAAAGACATATATGGCAACATAGGAGCTGAATTCAGGCTGTTACGATGGCTCAGTGGGTAACAGAACCTACTGCAGTCTTCATATCCTGAGTTTAGTCCCTGGAGCTTACATAGTGAATTCAGAGAATAGACTCCTGCAGGTTTCCTTCTAATTTCTACAAGTGTCTATGACACACACACACACACACACACACACACACACAGAGAGAGAGAGAGAGAGAGAGAGAGAGAGAGAGAGAGAAAGAGAGAGAGAGATAGAGAGAGGAGACTAAATAGAAATGTGATAAAAATTTGAACCAGAAAATATGACATTGAATCTTAGCAAAAATATAAACCAAATTGCTTAAATGAAACAAAGAAGGCATATTCATCAAATTTATAGATATTTTAAGTTTATGGTGCTAGATAAAATTTAAAGGGAAGATGAAGATTTAACGATACAGAAGTACAGGATGCATTAAGGTGGAAAATGCAGTTTAATTTCAGTTCATGTAACATAGAGGTGCTTTATTTGACTCCAGGCAGTCTGCTTGCCAAAAGACAACCTAATACAGGTTTGGGATGTCTTGCTGGAAGGGTTGCTTGGATCAAAGGGCTCACTGATCATTTTAGTGACTTACTTACTTCCCTACCTAGTGTGTGTATGTGTGTGTGTGTGTGTGTGTGTGTGTGTGTGTGTGTGCAGACGAGCACAATTTGCGAGAATAAACACCACAAGCTCATTTAAGAGAAGGTAAAGAGTGGTTTTGACAGATTGCTCTGCCATTTGCGGACCAGTGAAAGAACAAAACTTCGGAGGACAAGTCTCAACGCCTGTGTTGGTTATTTATTAATCTGCATCTACTATTTCAAGGCTTGCAGTATCTGTAAGGAGTAAGATTAATCTCGTGTAAGTCTTCCGGGTAGGTCGGGACTGGTCTACAGGAGACCAGTAGGTTTGAGTTCAGAAAGCTCTTTGTGTAAGCCGTGGGGTAGGCAGGCCTGGGTTTGAATTCTGATGTCACTATTAGCTCTGGCAAAAAGAAAGAAAATTCTGAATACCATTTCCCCAATTTTCTAAAATGGCGACTTATTTTAAGGGTTAGGGATGATGTAAGGAAGTTTCGTAGTTCCTGAGGTAGATCATCAAAGTAAACAATCCTAGTTATCGAGCAAACCCCGCTATTTCCAACATCAGACGTGCCCAGGTGGATGCTAGTCTGTTGGAAATGTTGGACAAAAGACTCGATGAAGGCAGGAGACTGAACTTAGTCATAAGACCTATCACTACCCCTTTCATCCCCCCATCTTGGCCTGGTAAGTCGGGTTGAATGTGCTTTTGCTTGCCTCACAAAGCAGGTAGGCCCAGCTATTTAAGCCAAGTTTCATTTAATAGTCTTTCTTGGCTTCTGGAAGTCAATTGACTTGAAGTTAGAAGGGCCGGTGTATCTGGGGGCGTAGCTGTGACAAGGAAGGATTGTAAAGGGTAAGAAAATGCTTGGTTCAGGAGAGAAGACTGGCTGATTCTCATTGTGTGGCTCCGTGATTGAGCCGGCGAGCACTGAAGTGGTGACCAGTTTTCCCGGACTAAAGAGTCTCACATACTCGAAAATACACCAGGCTCTTGGCGGGAGCTCCCATGAAAAGTGGGATCCAAGGCGCCTTGTGAGACGGGTCTGGGCTTGCTGGCCATATCCAGGGACTGGTGTTTGGAGCCTCTGTAAACCAACGAAGCTCTTGGGTACCACTTAAACACCGCTTGGGTTGAGGAGTTGGAAAAGAAGAGACCAAGGGACACAGGTCAGAGGCCAGGAGAATACCTCCCGCTGGTAGGTGGGTAGGGCAGTAACTCCTAGATTGATAGTGGTCATCAGGTGTGTCTCACGACCTAGTCCCAGTCACCTGTGCGCTCTCTCCTGCTGGGGGCATCGCCCCTGTCCCGGGCGGTGCTCTGCAGGCTCAGGTCAGTTCACCCGGGGAATT